GGCTTTTATTTGGATAAAGTATTTTAAAATATTTGTCTACAAATAAATTTGTCATTTTTCTTTTTTTATGTGGATTTTCTGATAGTTATGATCACTCTGCATTAGAGATGGCGAAAGTGATTTGGGTTCAGGACTTCAGAGAAATAATGTCAGGATATGGACTCATCTTCATGGAGAATTCTCTGCTGACAAAGAAGGAATATTCATATCCATCAGAAAAGGATCCAGTTGCATGGGGCTGCATTATTCAAAGGGTTTTGCTCTGACAGTCTCAGTGGAAGTAATTTAAGAATTTGGGGAACCTAATAAGATTGACTTGTCTTTTGTCCCCTGTTACCAGTCTAGTTGATTTGGTATTTTATTGGGATACTTGACTCCAAGGTCTACCTTTTGTGTTTCTGTTCAAGGAGGCTCAGGCTTGCATTGCAGTTTGGATGGCAGTCATGTCATCCTGTAGAGAACAGTATTTTAAAGGTTTCATAGACATATATAATGTCTGTGTATGTAAAATCATAACTTGTAAATCCATGGTATGGAAACTTTTAGTTTCCACAAGGCTTATGGAGACTTTTATTGAGCCTCTTAGGACCAGCTTTCTCTTGGATCTTTCACTGAAGATTTCTTCCTTTGTAGCTGTAATATTTGCCAAAAGACCATCAGAACTGCAGACTTTGACAGATTTTTCTTATTAAAATTTTCTTAAGTCGTCTTGGATATCCCTTTAAATTAGAATTTTTTTTTGGAGGGTGTGGGGGAACAAATAAGCTTCGTGATCCTCTGGGTTAAAGTTGGTTGCACACTGACCCTGACACAACAATGCGTTTTATAGCAGTCTTTAAGCTTGTGGCTTTTGGTGGAAAGTCCATTTCAATGTAGAGATAACCTAAACAAATCTGAGGCTGTAAAGAAGCAAAAGTTGGTTCCTTATTCTCAATCCCCACAAAGCACAGCTCTAAGATCAGACTTCATGGGTGCTGCCCTTCTTTGAGATGTGGGACCCTGCAGTCCCATCATCTTAGACCCTGAAACCAGTGCTTTGGACCTCCCAGGGCCCATCCTCTATCACTTTATAGATGCTTTCTTAGAGGCCTACTTAGGATATAGGCTGGCTCTTTGAGCTCCTAGATTACTTCCCTGCTATATTGTCCCCAAAGGGCCTAAAGTACAGAGTTAGCAAAGGAATTCTTGACCACAGTTTCTTATATTTAAAGAATAATCCACTACAAATCTTTGCAAAACAGAAGTCCTGAAACCTGATCTCACCCCTTCTGAGTCAGAGGTTTGGTAGAGTCCCTCCTACCTTTTCCTTTCCAGCTAGTCTGCCTTGTATGTGGTGATGGTTACTGCCCCTGTTCAGAGAAGCCATGCCATCTGTTTAGCTGGAAAACTTTCCTCTTTGCCTCTGTAGGCCCCGTGTTAGGAAAAAATATATATATATTGTTCCAGTGCCCGAGGACAGCAGTTGAGAGATTACTGAAGTTGATGGCCCTAAAATGCCATCTTGATAGCTGCCAGGCTCAGGAAAGGGCCTTGACACCTGACTGAAGGCTCAGCTCGGAGAAGCTAGCTAGAATGCAATTCAATATACTTGCCTTGGAGAAGGCTAGAAGTGTGTTCAGCCTGCAATACAAAACAGTTTCCAGTTTGATACAGACATGTTTTGCCCCCGTCAGAGTCTTGTTAATCACAAAAGCAGAGTATGGCTGGCCTAGTGCTTTTCATGGCCCTAGATGGGGGGGGAGGGAATCAATTGTTTTTGGGGAAGGACTTGCCTCTCCTTACTCCAGGAAACTAACAGTGGTATGGAGAAGCCCACCTACTTAAACTATTTGGAATTTGACTGGGCATATAGGGTGAAGGCCTTAAATTTGGAAAAAATTGAGACTTCAGAGGCAGAGTGTTTCAGGCTAGAGAATGGCAGAACATTGTACAGCATGACAGAGTGAAGCAGTAGTTATATTTCCTCCTTTCTAGCCTTTAAAAAATACAAATACAATATTGTTAACTTTATGGCTTATGTTTAAATGTACCAGTGGATTGTGATAAATATACATGTTTTAAATTGTAGTTTCAATGGTTTCTGGATTCATACAAATTGTGCATTCTAAAGGAACACTAACTGCAGCAGATGCTATTAAGGATCTATTAAAACTTTTCTGCATTAGACAAATTCTAAAAGCTTTCTGCAAAAATAACCATTTTATGTTAAAATCTAGTTTAAGACTACTTATCTTATTTTTACATTATTAGTACAGTGGCTGTAGATATGGGCTGGTCCAATTTTCCTTTGATATCAGTCTCTACCACCACTTCAGACTTACAGTATATTCACTAAAAAGAAAAAGGAGTACTTGTGGCACCTTAGAGACTAACCAATTTATTTAGTCTCTAAAGCGCCACAAGTCCTCCTTTTCTTTTTGTGAATACAGACTAACACGGCTGTTACTCTGAAACCAGTATAGTCACTAAAAATGGCAGATCTAGAAAAAAAATGACAGCAAATGGAGGAATATCATTCCCATTTAAGACCCTCATCCTGCGGTCTTTCCAACTGCAAACATCTGTAATCCTCCATAAAATCTGTTTTTCACACCTTTAATTATGATTTTGTTTTGCAAAAATCCCTTTCATTTCAACAGGATGTGTTTTAGTTGGATTTCAGACATACAGTGTTGTCTTATCAGGGTGATAACCCCATGCAAATAGTGTTCTGGGTTCTTCAAAAACCAATTTCTTGACCCAGTTCCATTTAGTGCAAGAATGGGGAGAATCAACTATTAATAGACTAAAAGTGTGTGTAGGAAAACATACATCAATTCTTGGTTATATGGCATATACAAAAATATATGCACATACTTAAAAGATACATACGCTGAAGCATGCAAATACTCCTAAACATGATGCTGAACCTTTAAGGCCTTCATGCTGCAAGTGGATCTGCACCAATGGACCCCTAGATCCAGAGTATGACTGAAGCCAGTAGAACTCTATACAAGTACAAAGGTCTACCTGCATAGATCAAATTGCAGCATCAGGGCTTAAATTTATACACGGAAGATTTTCTTAACTTTATAAATGGATGGGGAGAAGGATAGAAAAAAGTACATTTATCACTGAAGGGAAAAAATTCACAGTTACAATAATAAAGACCGAAAGTGTTCCACACTCAAGTGTAGAACTGTCAGCTTCCATAAGCAGCATATACTTTGGCATAAGGATACCATTTCAGAGAGCATGTAAATGATTAAAAATCAAGGGGATAAATTCTGGATCCCTTGAACTCAATGGCAAAATTACCACAGACTTCAGTGAGGCATTGTTTAGAACTCTTTTTGTTCTTCCTAGGGTCTGTACAGAAGACAGGATACAGATTAAATCATGCATTTTGCAATCAACAAATGTATCATCCTTTAATTTTACATTCTTTTCAGATAGGGCAGTACTTTGTTCATTTATTTTCTAAATACAGTAAATTGAGATACAGTTGTAGAGTCTCTATTATTCTTCACTAAAAACAAGTACAAAGCACTCCATTAACTTTTTATGCTGATGCAAACCAGAAAGGCAGGAGTTTGTGGAATGTGGGGGCTAAAAAAATTATTCTGGGATTACTCTACTTGAAGTGCACTCAGTGTTGTAATCCATGTTTTGTTTTTCCATTGACAAGATCTCCTGTACTTTCTGAAACCACTGATGCAAGTGGGTAAACAGATTTCCATATCACTTTTTTGAGCAGTTCATCTAGCTCAATAGATTTTAGACTTTCTTCTCTACCCTAAGATACGAAAAACAAACCACAACTATGAACCTAATCCTCTAAAATGCCAAATACTTTTGAATGTTTTTAAAGTCAATATATCTGAAAGAACTCTGACTCTTGCAAGACTGGACTGTTAAAACTTAAATATGGTAGTCATTTAAATAGATCAAAGTTGAGTTACTGAGCAGTTAAAAGCTGGCAGGCAGAATCGTGTCACACTTAAGAGCACAACACTTATTTACATTTGTCTCCTGGCTGACTACTGAGCCACAATGCAGTGTAACAGAGTAACAGCCGTGTTAGTCTGTATTCGCAAAAAGGAGTACCTGTGGCACCTTAGAGACTAACCAATTGGTTAGTCTCTAAGGTGCCACAAGTACTCCTTTTCTTTTTGCGAATGCAGTGTAAGTGCATGAATGCAGAGGTTAAATCCAAATAACACAAATTCCTGATCAACAAACTCCGCCACCCCTCCCCCCCCCTGCAAAAAAAACCCTGCAAAACTCCACAACCATTAAAGTGACACTTTAATGACATAAATTGTCTTGGCATAGTCACACTGTAGGATGTGACACTCTACTAGAAATCCTGGACAGAAAGTTGCATTGTACATTACGCCCACTGTATTTTATAACAGTCTTCCATTGTAGTTTAATTCAGTAAACCAGGAATATAATACTGAATAGGGCAAATGCCCACACTCAAAGTAAATGTGAGGTATCACTATCTTCTATGAAGGCCACTGCTTTTGTCAGTAAACTAACAGTAGTATACTCTTGTTAAGAATTCCTTTGCTATTATGAAGGCAGAAGCCAGGAAGCTAGTTCTTTCAAGAAAGTGGACTTGATAGTGTATTTAATCCAAGTAACACTTCCACGGTCTAACCTGGGTCAAAAATGGAGTCACTAGGACACAAATAGGCCAAACAGTGCCCTCCAGGGAAAATAAAAGTTGTATTTTTACTGCAACAGAATCATTTCTAAATTCCCTCATCTACTCAGTAGTGTTCTGAGGTCACTTCTAGTTTTGGAATCAGTTCATAATACACCAGTTTAGTTAGCTGTAAATAATCAAAAGCAGTTTCACATTTGGGAAAAGGATTACAGATATTCCTTGATACAAAAGAGCAGTAAAAGCGTTTCTAGCATTTGGAAAATATTATTGTACTGTATATAGTTAAGCCACCCAGGTAGTACAGAAGCTTTTAGGAAATAAACTATCCAAGAGATGACTTAATAGGTCTTTTCCTTTTCTATTTTTTAATATTTCCAGAAGTACACCACCACCCCCTTGTGGTGCAAAAAAGAACGTAGCCAACACTGTTTAGCTAATAGCTAATACAATTATGTATTCAAAAGAAATCCATAATCGGTGAATCAATGAAAAGAGAACAGGCATAAGATCACATAAAATATTTACCTCAGTAAAAGCATGTAAAGTGATTTATAATTCAAAGTGATTTTTTTATAGCACATTTCACAAAATTTCAATTTGCAGAAGCCAAGCTTTTCCAAAAGCCTTTTAAAGGCACTAAATTCACAGGTGACTAACCAATAAGTAGTACAGAAGAGGTGGACAGCAGCACATGTATTTAACTATAAGCATCTAGAGAAGATAACTTTTTTTTTTAATAAAGAGGCAGACAAAGTTCATCACAAAACTTTAAATAAACGCTAAAACAAAAAGAAAAACTCCCACACACTAAAAGTTACCCAAGCTGTGCATGTTAGTTTCAAGAACAGAAATAAAATACATTCACTCTATCACCATTAAATACTAAGGTCGTTCCCAAATAACTGTGCATCTCCCGCTGTCCACCCCACCCAAAAGTTGAAGCATGAGACGTTTAAAAAGAATGATAAGTTTTGGCCACCTTTGTTTTCCATTCTGAGATTCTTGGTTGAAAAATATTCTTAGCACACACCTCTATCCTCTGTCGTACTGCAATGGCAAAGTACTGTTGAATCTTCATATACAAACAGCAAAAGCCACACAATGAATAAGTGCCACTCAGCTGCAGAAACTGGCAAGTTATTGGCAGTATTTGACCCTCTTCTTTTCAAATGCCATACTTATTTATCCAACCTGCCACTAGAAAAATAAAACAAAGTTGTATGTATGCAGTAAACTCAGTGATTCATTACAATCCACGTATTTCATTCAAATCCACCAATACTTTTGATGTGCAACAAGAGGATGCACAACTTTCTAGATACTATCCCTGTCCCAAAAAGATACTATCCCAGTCCCTGTCATCTAAAAGGAAAGCAGTAACTTATTAAAAAGGCAAGGGAGAGGGAAATAAGCATATATAAAGTGTAGAGAAAAAAAACAGATGCACACCAAATATACATAACTGCCCCCTTGCCTGTTTATTATTAATTGGCTAATTTCTTATAAACACAGAGGAAAAAACATGATTTTTGAAGGTTGCCATCTTACAAGTACGGTAAGTAAGGGTGTTCCATGTGCAGGGAGCAGCCTGGAATAAGGTGTGTATATGACTGTGGGAGAAGCTGATAAATGGGAAGTCAATATTAGCATTAATGGTGGAGCAGAGAGGATGGGAGCAATGCAGTAAGAGACAGGAGTGGATAAGTGGGGAAGGACAGAGCTGTGAAAAGCCTTGAAGGTTAGGAAAAGTAGCTTGCGCTTTGTGGTACAAAAGGGAGACCCAGTCGAAGAATTCAAAGGGAGTAGGGGTATATAGTAAGACAATACGAAGGATGATGAATGATCTTAGAAGCTGCATTTTGAATGGATTCGAGGGAAGGGTCAAATGGGTACTGGAGAAATCTTAAGAAGAGGCAGCTGCAACAGTCAATGTGAGATAAAGAGTCTGAACAAGATTTTGCTGTGGGAATAAAAAGGAAAGGTTGCATCTTAGAAACTTGACAGGAATTGAAGCCCTGATAAAATCTGTATACAACCTAGATATGAGGGTCAAGGAAGAAGAAATTAAATAGGACTCAGATGATTGGCTTTTGTGACTGGGAGCAGGGTGATACTGTCAATAACTGCTGAGAATGCAAGTGGATAAGAAGTATCTGGAATGAAACATGGGACATGTTAAGTTTACTTTTACTTTCTATTTGTGCTTACTTTGTTTTGTATAGTTCTTTAATAGATTTATATAGACAAAACTGAACTTACTAATAAAGCTAGTTAAATCTAAAACCAAACATTTTAAAAAGGATTTAACAAAGTGAATCTTAAAACTTACTCTAAGCCCTCCTCCTCCTCCTCCAGAGCTTGAAGATGCAATTTGTTTCTCCATTTCCTCCTGTTTCTTTTTCTTTTGCTCCACAGAATATGGGTTCTTAACACCACGAGAGGTGGCCTTTAGGGAAATAAGATTGGATAAAATACTGCAGTCCAATTTCTTTTCAAAGAAATAAAACCTTGACAACTATATTTTGTGGGTTTCTATTTGGAAGCAATATTGAAACACTAATTAATAATAGTATGTAACACAGCAGCATAACTTTTTAAGGTGCTTTTTAACATTGCACAGTATTTGTCAGTGATGGCAATGGGGTATTCTTTTATTTGTATATCCAGATGGGCATAATTTAATGAGTAAATGCACGTGGTTTGTATTCAAATTGTAAAATTAAACATTTCCCCCTCCCCTTCAAGAACTCCCATGCACTTTGATCCTATAGTTTTTCCAAATGGTATGAGCTCCATATTCTTGCCCTCACCAATTGAATTTTAACTTAGAAAGGATGGTTCAGGCAGTCAGCTGCATCCAAGAACCCAAACTGTTGTTTTATATGGCATTACTGCCCCACCTTCTCTTACCACATAGATTTCTGCAAGTACAGGGCATCCTATGGCTAACAGAGATATTAGCCAAGAGGTCTCATTACAATTTACAATAAGTGCATGAGGGGAGATGACAGATGTAGTTCCCACATCTACAGTCCTTATTTGCACCCTACTTAGGGACCCCGCTTAGGATGTGTGAAACCAAGGTTCAATTCCTCTATCACAAATATTCTCTGTGACCCTGGGCAAGTCACTATTTGTGCCTCAATTGTCCATTTGTAAAATAGGGTTAATAGTACTTTCCCCTATGTCAGAGGGGTGTTGTGAGGATATATACATTAAAAGATTGAGGCACTAAGATACTGTGGTGATAGGGCCATATAAGTACCTACATTAGAGCGATATACGGTTCTAAAACATGAATACCAAGGCTGTACACAATAGCTTCTTTTTCCTCTTACTTATTTTGAGATCTGAACTTAACAGAATTTTTAATGCACTTCTAGCTTATAATTTAGAGCTATAACACTACATGTGAGCAACAGAAAAAATAAGGTTAAATCTATGCTGAGAGGAAAGAGGAACAGATTGTTATCAGTCACCACCACCTTGGATTTGTGCTAACAGTCAAAGCAGATTTCAGAGTAACAGCCGTGTTAGTCTGTATTTGCAAAAAGAAAAGGAGTACTTGTGGCACTTTAGAGACTAACCAATTTATTTGAGCATAAGCTTTCGTGAGCTACAAAGCAGAGTTGTGACAAAGTAAGACTGTAGATGGAGTAAGAATGTGAAGAGAGGCATTAAGCTGTCAATGCAATATAAAATATGAAGTAAAGATGAAGTAGGGTGATCTGAACAGTATTTTAGATTAGCATATTATTTGCACAGAAACAGAATGACACTAGCTGCAGCATGGTCTGAACACACGGCTGGAAGCCTTAGTTCTAATTCCAATTTGGACACCAACTCACTGATGTACGCACTTAGTCTCTAGTCATTTAAACTCACTCATACTCACAAATCAATAGACTACTCGTATGTCAAGATACATGTTTGTAGAATAGGAGCTTTAGTTTGTGTTTGTTTCCACCATCTACTATAGTGGTGGCCAACCTGTGGCTCCAGAGCCACATGCGGCTCTTCAGAAGTTAATATGCGGCTCCTTGTATAGTCACCGACTCCGGGGCTGGAGCTACAGGCCCCAACTTTCCAGTATGCCAGGAGGTGCCCACTGCTCAACCCCGGCTCTGCCACAGGCCCTGCCCCCACTCCATCCCTTCCCGCCCCCTCCCCTGAGCCTGCCATGCCATCGTTCCTCCCACTCCCGCTGAGCCTCCTGCACACCACGAAACAACTGATCCGGAGGTGCGGTGAGGGAGGGGTAGGCACTGATCAGCAGGACTTCCGGTGGGCAGGAGGCGCTGCTGATGCATTCATTAATGTGGCTCTTTGGAAATGTACATTGGTAAATTCTGGCTCCTTCTCAGGCTCAGATTGGCCACTCCTGATCTACTATATCTCTTCTATATGGTATTTATCTACCTACCACTCAGGGTTGTTGCAAGGATATATATATTTAGAAAGTACTTTGAGATTCAAAACACTATAGATGTACTAAATCTTTTTTTTTTAATTAAAATGTAGGCCAAAGCAAACCAAAAAAGTTTTAATAAAAAGGCCTTTAAATGCTGCTATAATAATTTAGAAAGTGCTTTTATCCATGACTCAAATATGAATCATGATCTTTAAACAGTAGCAAACCGAACAAGCCCGTATCAGCAAAAGGCCAACAAACTATACAGAGAACAACCAACAATGTTCATACAATACACACATTCATTATCTTCATACTTCATATTTGAAATTCAACAAGACACTATAGAGAATTTAGATTATGCAGTGTTTAAAAAAGGTTTATTTTTTAAGGTAAGGTGCAAATAAGGCTACAGTTCCTTTGCTTTAGGCTTCTGTATGTGTTTCCTCCTTCCTATTATTACTTCTGCCCTAAGGCACATACTACCTCCACTTTCCTAAATTTAAGACCTCCCAGCTTCAACACCCAAGTCCCCAACTTTTCAGGTCCAGAGTCTGTCAATGCCACTGCTTAATTGACTGGGATGAGGAAAGAGACCCACATTTCCCCCATGTTAATGAAGCGAACAGCCAAGAAATTCAGCTATGTTGAGCTTTTAGAAGTAGCAAGTCTCAAAACAACACTTGCAAATGCTGCCAAAACAATTAAATATCTTTGAAAAATGCAACTGAAATATCTCTTTGGTGTTTGTGGTTAAAGTAAAACAAAAATATCACTGACAAAAATCAATTTCTTCTTTGGTTTAAAAGAACTTTCCAGCTTTGCATTCACATTTTATAATGGCAAAGATTTTCAACGGTCCTAATAGCTGTTTGAATTTCAATGGGAGTCAGGTGCCTAACTTTCTTAAGCTCCTTTCAAAATCCCCGCCAATGTTCCATGACATCATTATATAAATACCCATCAAATTACTAACAATGATAAATTCCACTTGCCGATAGTCCACGTATGCTGTTCAGCTGCATTTCGGCAAAGAGACCTCTGGTATTTTCCATTTTAAAACCAGTGGCTACATAACAAGTTTCTGAATAAATGTAATGTTACCTCCATCTGCCTCTTTTCTGCAGCTTCTGCAAGTTGTCGTCTTTTACTTTCCTACAGAAAATTTGAAAAAAGGTGTTATGTTCCATTGTAGTAGAGAAAGCAGAATAAATTGTTTAACAATGAAAATATAGCAGTTTTAAAAAAGATTAAATGATATAATGCGTAGACTACTCCATGTCCGTTCCTTGTCATTCATATGAACAATGGAAGTTATTTAATCAAATTCTGAACTTAAGTCAAACGGCAGCTGCTTCTTCTCTCTGTTTTAAGTATTAAAGTAACTACATAAGGACAGGTTTCAGAGTAGCAGCCGTGTTAGTCTGTATCCGCAAAAAGAAAAGGAGGACTTGTGGCACCTTAGAGACAAACAAATCTATTTGAGCATAAGCTTTCATGAGCTACATCCGACGAAGTGAGCTGTAGCTCACAAAAGCTTATACTCAAATAAATTTGTTAGTCTCTAAGGTGCCACAAGCACTCCTTTTCTTTTTATAAGGACAGTATGCTTTTGGTTACTAAGATGGTAGAAAAGGAGCACCTGTGGCACCTTAGAGACGAACAAATTTATTTGAGCATAAGCTTTCGTGAGCTACAGCTACTCTGAAACCTGTTAAGATGGTAGAGTGTTATTGCTGCTACAATGTATTCCAGTATTTGAGTAACAATAGTGTTATGCAGATATATCCATTAGAAGGCCATATTTCAGGTGACTTGCATCTTTACCGCAAAAAAACAAACAAACAAAAAATCATTCTAGGATGAAACCTACAATAAGAAGGTATTTTATATGGCAGAGAAATGGACACAGTGCATAAGATGTTCTTATCATTTGAGGAGAAAAGAAAAATGAGATCTTGGTATGATTGCTGTTTCCCCGAGGGCCTCATGAAAATGAGGCATGTCTCAAGAGTTATCACAAGCATAAATATTTTAAGAACAAACATCATGGAACCTCTGATAGTGACGTTTACAAAACAACTGTAACTAGAATAGCTATCACTATAAATGGATTTTCACTGAATACAAGTTCACTAAAACCAGGCTCCACAGTTTTCCAGAGTTAGAAAAGAAGATTTATTTCCTTACCAGTTAAATCCCAACCAGGATCTTGATCCAACAATCAGGTCAGCTAGCATAGGCCCTAAACCCATGAAGAGTCCCACTAATTCTGAAGTCAGTGGGTTTCCACAAGGATGCAGGGAACTATGCTAAGAAGATTGGTACCCATATCAGTAATAAATGGTAGTGATGGCGTATGTGAAATGAGTTCACCATCTTAGTAAAGTTTCTAGTAGGAGGGTGCCTATAACAAACAGGAGTGTAACAGAGAGACCAAGGATTAAATGGGCATAAAACAGAATTACTCTCTCACTCATAAGAGATGGTCCCTTCAGATCTCTATCTTTGTGCTCCTGCAGATACTTCAAGTGGAGGACACCTGTGACTGAGACTGACAAACTCCAAATTTTGTTAATTTTAGTTCATGATAGAGGTTTCAGGCTTAAGGGGGGCATGGATCAGCATTCACGTGACTCTCCCTATCAGTACGCAGCCTGGGGAAGCTAATAATCCAACAAGCGGACCAAATTCGGTGATGAATCCTAGTCACGTGCCTCCAGAGGCATGTTCCACACATGCTAAGAAGAAGGGATCGTACCCTATGGTTTTTGTTCTCTGGTTACATAATGTGTGGTGAGATACTGACCCTGCAATACAGGCTGGTAGAAAGACAGTATAAAATAAATAACAGGATTTTCAATGTTTTAAAATGATACGCAATTTGACAAACTAATTTTTAAAAGTAAGTTTGGATTTTGTGTTTTAATTCTTAAGAGTTTTCTGTTGATGTTTATAATCTCCCTTTTTGCTGACTCCCTGCCAATCAAGGAAGAAACTGACTAGCAAACATTCATATGACACTACCCACATGTGCAAATACTTGCAAGATCCGGTCTGTACAGGGGGAAGAGTGAAACTGTTATACCAAGTGCTGTCAAATGCCCAAAGCAGACAAGATGGAATGAGAGAAAAATATCTGTTTGCCCATCAACTTCTTTCAGTTACAAGAAAGACCTAAATTAAGTCCAACATTTTCTTACAAAATTATTATTTTCAAGTCGACAGTGTCCCTTTAAAGCAAAATGTACTTAACAAAAACAAACCTAGAGCGCTAGGGACCTGCTTCTGCAGATCCATGAAATAATGTATTTTTTTTTAATTAAAGGGTATATTTAACCCTTAATTATACATCGAGGGCTTAATTCCCTCTGTCCCCAAAATAAATATTAAAAACGCAGTCTCTTAACGGGATCTCTTACTGCGTGTATGTCACTGGAGTATGTTATGGGTGCGCCTTTGGGAGGCGCCAATCCTCACGACTCACTGCACCCCAGGTGGCTGACCGACCGCAGCACACAGATGTTCAGTCCTTAGGCTGGACAAGGGCAACAGCAACTACCCCGCCTCTGCTCTGCTGCATTATTTTAATCCTGCAATTATGGGAAAACCACACCGTGGAAAGTCGCCTCTCTCTGGGGTAATTTCAAAAACCGACAAAAATACAAAAACAAACCGCTAGCCCAGAAAAAAAACAAAAACAAAAACCCGGAGGAGGAGCTGAAAGGAGGATGCACCTGCTGGGGGCCTGCTCCGGAGTGGGAGGTCCCTGCCCAGCTTGAGTCTGGCGGGGCCGCGGAGCGCGGTGCCCGCGGCCCAGCCAGGGCGTGTCGGGGGAGAGGAGCTGGGCTCCCGCGAGGGCCGTACGCACCGCACTCACCGGGTCGGGCGTCTCCACCACGTCCTCGGCGGCTCCCCCCAAGCAGGGTAGGCAGAGCCCCATGCCGGGCCCCGGGCCGCCTGGCGCTCGCCCTCCCGGCTCAGGCAGCCGGAGCTCCGGGGACCAGCCGCGACGCTCCCGCCCGGCACAGTCAGAGCGCGGAGCCCGGCAGAGCCCGCCCAGTTCTGGGATCGGGGCACACGGCGCCACCTGCAGCTCCGGAGCTGCTGCTGCCGCCGCCGCCGCCGCGGGGTGGGTGGGGCAGAGGCGGAGGCCGCAGGGAAGCTGGCTGCAGGCTCGCGGGGAGGAGGGCGCCAGAGTTCCACCGTTGTCCTGTTACCGAGGGGCTCAAAGCCTCTGCCAGTTACTGAACAGGCTGGAGCTGGCAGGGGCTTGTCAGCCGGGCGTCCTCACAAACGTATAAGCAGACCCAGGCTCCGTGAGGCGGCCCGGTGTCGACGTGAGAAAGTTGCAGTACAACTTGCATTGTTTTTGTAAGGTTTCAGATGGGCTATTACCAGCAGGAGAGTGAGTTTGCGGGGCGGAGGGTGAGAAAACCTGGATTTGTGCTGGAAATGGCCCAACTTGATTATCATACACATTGTAAAGAGAGGTTTCAGAGTAACAGCTGTGTTAGTCTGTATTAGCAAAAAGAAAAGGAGGACTTGTGGCACCTTAGAGACTAACCAATTTATTTGAGCATGAGCTTTCGTGAGCTACAGCTCACTTCATCGGATGCATACCGTGGAAACTGCAGCAGACTTTATATACACACAGAGAATATGAAACAATACCTCCTCCCACCCCACTGTCCTGCTGGTAATAGCTTATCTAAAGTGATCATCAAGTTGGGCCATTTCAAGCACAAATCCAGGTTTTCTCACCCTCCAACCCCCCCCCCCCCCACACAAATTCACTCTCCTGCTGGTGATAGCCCATCCAAAGTGACAACTCTTTACACAATGTGCATGATAATCAAGTTGGGCCATTTCCTGCACAAACCCAGGTTCTCTCACCCCCTCACCCCCCTCCCAAAAACCACACACACAAACTCACTATCCTGCTGATAATAGCTTATCCAAAGTGACCACTCTCCCTACAATGTGCATGATAATCACACAAACTCACTCTCCTGCTGGTAATAGCTCATCCAAACTGACCACTCTCCAAGTTTAAATCCAAGTTAAACCAGAACATCTGGGGGGGGGGGGGAGTAGGAAAAAACAAGGGGAAATAGGCTACCTTGCATAATGACTTAGCCACTCCCAGTCTCTATTTAAGCCTAAATTAATAGTATCCAATTTGCAAATTAATTCCAATTCAGCAGTTTCTCGCTGGAGTCTGGATTTGAAGTTTTTTTGTTTTAAGATAGTGACCTTCATGTCTGTGATTGCGTGACCAGAGAGATTGAAGTGTTCTCCGACTGGTTTATGAATGTTATAATTCTTGACATCTGATTTGTGTCCATTTATTCTTTTACGTAGAGACTGTCCAGTTTGACCAATGTACATGGCAGAGGGGCATTGCTGGCACATGATGGCATATATCACATTGGTGGATGTGCAGGTGAACGAGCCTCTGATAGTGTGGCTGATGTTATTAGGCCCTGTGATGGTGTCCCCTGAATAGATATGTGGGCACAATTGGCAACGGGCTTTGTTGCAAGGATAAGTTCCTGGGTTAGTGGTTCTGTTGTGTGGTATGTGGTTGTTGGTGAGTATTTGCTTCAGGTTGCGGGGCTGTCTGTAGGCAAGGACTGGCCTGTCTCCCAAGATTTGTGAGAGTGTTGGGTCATCCTTTAGGATAGATTGTAGATCCTTAATAATGCGTTGGAGGGGTTTTAGTTGGGGGCTGAAGGTGACGGCTAGTGGCGTTCCGTTATTTTCTTTGATAGGCCTGTCCTGTAGTAGGTAACTTCTGGGAACTCTTCTGGCTCTATCAATCTGTTTCTTTACTTCTGCAGGTGGGTATTGTAGTTGTACGAATGCTTGATAGAGATCTTGTAGGTGTTTGTCTCTGTCTGAGGGGTTGGAGGAAATGCGGTTGTATCGCAGAGCTTGGCTGTAGACGATGGATCGTGTGGTGTGGTCAGGGTGAAAGCTGGAGGCATGCAGGTAGGAATAGCGGTCAGTAGGTTTCTGGTATAGGGTGGTGTTTATGTGACCATTGTTTATTAGCACTGTAGTGTCCAGGAAGTGGATCTCTTGTGTGGACTGGACCAGGCTGAGGTTGGTGGTGGGATGGAAATTGTTGAAATCATGGTGGAATTCCTCAAGGGCTTCTTTTCCATGGGTCCAGATGATGAAGATGTCATCAATATAGCGCAAGTAGAGTAGGGGCTTTAGGGGACGAGAGCTGAGGAAGCATTGTTCTAAATCAGCCATAAAAATGTTGGCATACTGTGGGGCCATGCGGGTACCCATAGCAGTGCCGCTGATCTGAAGGTATACATTGTCCCCAAATGTGAAATAGTTATGGGTAAGGACAAAGTCACAAAGTTCAGCCACCAGGTTAGCCGTGACATTATCGGGGATAGTGTTCCTGACGGCTTGTAGTCCATCTTTGTGTGGAATGTTGGTGTAGAGGGCTTCTACATCCATAGTGGCCAGGATGGTGTTATTAGGAAGATCACCGATGGATTGAAGTTTCCTCAGGAAGTCAGTGGTGTCTCGAAGGTAGCTGGGAGTGCTGGTAGCGTAGGGCCTGAGGAGGGAGTCTACATAGCCAGACAGTCCTGCTGTCAGGGTGCCAATGCCTGAGATGATGGGGCGCCCAGGATTTCCAGGTTTATGGATCTTGGGTAGTAGATAGAATATCCCAGGTCGGGGTTCCAGGGGTGTGTCTGTGCGGATTTGATCTTGTGCTTTTTCAGGAAGTTTCTTGAGCAAATGCTGTAGTTGCTTTTGGTAACTCTCAGTGGGATCATAGGGTAATGGCTTGTAGAAACTCGTGTTGGAGAGCTGCCGAGCAGCCTCTTGTTCATATTCCGACCTATTTATGATGACAACAGCACCTCCTTTGTCAGCCTTTTTGATTATGATGTCAGAGTTGTTTCTGAGGCTGTGGATGGCATTGCGTTCCGCATGGCTGAGGTTATGGGGCAAGTGATGCTGCTTTTCCACAATTTCAGCCCGTGCACGTCGGCAGAAGCACTCTATGTAGAAGTCCAGTCTGCTGTTTTGACCTTCAGGAGGAGTCCACCTAGAATCCCTCTTTCTGTAGTGTTGGTAGGGAGACCTCTGTGGATTAGTATGTTGTTCAGAGATATTTTGGAAATATTCCTTGAGTCGGAGACGTCAAAAATAGGATTCTAGGTCACCACAGAACTGTATCATGTTCGTGGGGGTGGAGGGGCAGAAGGAGAGGCCACGAGATAGAACAGCTGCTTCTGCTGGGCTGAGAGTATAGTTGGATAGGTTAACAATATTGCTGGGTGGGTTGAGGGAACCATTGCTGTGGCCCCTTGTAGCATGTAGTAGTTTAGAAAGTTTAGTGTCCTTTTTCTTTTGTAGAGAAGCAAAGTGTGCGTTGTAAATGGCTTGTCTAGTTTTAGTAAAATCCAGCCACGAGGAAGTTTGTGTGGAAGGTTGGTTTTTTATGAGAGTATCCATTTTTGAGAGCTCATTCTTAATCTTTCCCTGTTTGCTGTAGAGGATGTTGATCAGGTGATTCCGCAGTTTCTTTGAGAGCGTGTGGCACAAGCTGTCAGCATAGTCTGTGTGGTATGTAGAATGGACACAAATCAGATGTCAAGAATTATAACATTCATAAATCAGTCGGAGAACACTTCAATCTCTCTGGTCACGCAATCACAGACATGAAGGTCGCTATCTTACAACAAAAAAACTTCAAATCCAGACTCCAGCGAGAAACTGCTGAATTGGAATTAATTTGCAAATTGGATACTATTAATTTAGGCTTAAATAGAGACTGGGAGTGGCTAAGTCATTATGCAAGGTAGCCTATTTCCCCTTGTTTTTTCCTACCCCCCCCCCCAGATGTTCTGGTTTAACTTGGATTTAAACTTGGAGAGTGGTCAGTTTGGATGAGCTATTACCAGCAGGAGAGTGAGTTTGTGGGTGTATGGGGGGGGGGGGTGTGAGAAAACCTGGATTTGTGCTGGAAATGGCCCACCTTGATTATCATGCACATTGTAGGGAGAGTGGTCACTTTGGATGAGCTATTACCAGCAGGATAGTGAGTTTGTGTGTGTGGTTTTTGGGAGGGGGGTGAGGGGGTGAGAGAACCTGGATTTGTGCAGGAAATGGCCCAACTTGATTATCATGCACATTGTGTAAAGAGTTGTCACTTTGGATGGGCTATCACCAGCAGGAGAGTGAATTTGTGTGGGGGGGTGGAGGGTGAGAAAACCTGGATTTGTGCTGGAAATGGCCCAACCTGATGATCACTTTAGATAAGCTATTACCAGCAGGACAGTGGGGTGGGAGGAGGTATTGTTTCATGTTCTCTGTGTGTATATAAAGTCTGCTGCAGTTTCCATGGTATGCATCCGATGAAGTGAGCTGTAGCTCACGAAAGCTCATGCTCAAATAAATTGGTTAGTCTCTAAGGTGCCACAAGTACTCCTTTTCTTATTGTAAAGAGAGTGATCACTTTAGATAAGCTATTACCAGCAGGAGAGTGGGGTGGGAGGAGGTATTGTTTCATGGTCTCTGTGTATATAATGTCTTCTGCAGTTTCCACAGTATGCATCCGATGAAGTGAGCTGTAGCTCACGAAAGCTTATGCTCAAATAAATTGTTTTTGTAAAGTGATTGTAGTCAAAGCAGTGCAAATCTCTGTGCGGACCCTCCGTTTTCCTGCGTAAGAGGGGCCTATTTATCTTAAACTGATTCCGAATGGATTTCAACTAAACCAAACTAAGCCCCTCTTAAACCAAAATTAGAATGTTCACACAGGGTTTTATACTGGTTTGACTAAATCATTTTAAAATCTAACTTTTAGTGAAGCTTTCGTATGTAGTGATTTCATTTTTAACTAACATTGTTTTAAAAATTGATTTAGTTAACCGCTATGTAGACACTCTTAAATAGATGTAAATCTGGTTTGTATCAGTTTAATTTAAATCTATTTCTTACTGAATTAAGGTGCTAAACTGAGCCTACAATAGATGCTAAATGATATTTCAAATCATGTTTACTAACTCAATTAAACAAAATATTTTCCCCTAGAATATTGC